GCACTGTTGCCTGCACTTCAGCAACTAAACTTTAATGACAACATGGTGACCTCCCAGATCAAACATGAAGTGTCCGTTACAGTCATCATCCGCGTTTACCGGACAAATGCTTCATGTGAGCAGGGAACCGAAGCTGCATGTGAGCGCGGAACATCTGACACAGAGTTATGTTTAGGATGCTGAGTCAAGTGGTGTTGAATTCCATAAATGCAAACAATGCTTAGATAAGCAGTGATACAATGTAACCTTGTGACTGGTGCGTTCTCCGGGATATTCACTCACTCTATTGTAAGATTAGCTGCTTATATCTCAATGTTTTTCTACCTGTCTCACAGTCATTCAGATATGGGAAAATATGGCCATTGATGACAACTGTTCGCAGTCTTTGTTTGATTTACGGCGAGAAGGATGGGAGATCAATTTTCGTTTGTGTATGACTGTGTATTCTACAAGTTACCTCTGCTTCCAGCGACCCGTCCACCAGTCCTCCCTGTGGCTATAAGCTTGCAGAAAGTTACCCAATTCAAGTTACAAAGAAAAATAACGAGCTTGTAGCAAAAAAAGGAATAGGAAAAAAACGAATTTGCAATTGTAAAAATGCAAATCCAAAAAGAGACCTACGCACATTTTTATCTCCAGCCGTGCCTGTTCACACGACGTCCGTTTTGTGTGCTGACCTGATCCGTACGCTCCTGCACTCAAAATGCATCCCAATGTATCCCTATGGGCTTTATGGGCTACAGTTCTCACGTGCGCAGTTCAGCTTACGACAGAAAAATACTGCATGTCACATTTTGTACGGTCAGGAAACGCAAACGCGTCAAAAACGCACTGCAGCTAACATACTAACAGCCCCACTCCAGCAACAAAAAACATTTTTTTTTTTACTGGAACGCATCAAAAACGCGGCCAAAACGCACCGCATCAGTAGCACCGCGTCTGCAGATCCCGACCTGATCAGGACCTGAAACTCATGTGAACAGGCCCTAGTGTTACATGCTTATTGTCATTGCTGAAAATTGCTACTTGCCCATTAAATTTAGTCCTACAGTGTTACCAGGCTCACCTTACGCTACACACCCCAACCAGAGCCCCCAGCAATTCAAGCCCACCTTGTCACTATCATGATATCCAGCCTTCACATTTACCACTTACTGTGCTGCAGTGACATCACTATATACCCACTTAGAGACCTCACTATATACCCACTTAGAGACCTCACTATATACCCACTTAGAGACCTCACTATATACCCACTTAGAGACCTCCTATATACCCACTTAGAGGCCTCACTATATACCCACTTGGAGACCTCACTATATACCCACTTGAAGACCTCACTATATACCTACTTAGTGACCTCACTATATACCCCCTTAGAGGCCTCACTATATACCTACTTAGTGGCCTCACTATATACCTACTTAGTGACCTCACTATATACCCACTTAGTGGCCGCACTATATACCTACTTAGAGACCTCACTATATACCCACTTAGTGGCCTCACTATATACCCACTTAGAGACCTCACTATATACCCACTTAGAGGCCTCGCTATATACCCACTTAGAGACCTCACTATATACCCACTTAGAGACCTCAATATATACCTACTTAGAGACCTCTCTATATACCCACTTAGAGACCTCAATATATACCTACTTAGTGACCTCTCTATATACCCACTTAGAGACCTCTCTATATACCCACTTAGTGACCTCTCTATATACCCACTTAGAGACCTCTCTATATACCCACTTAGAGACCTCTCTATATACCCACTTAGAGACCTCTCTATATACCCACTTAGAGGCCTCACTATATACCTACTTAGTGAACTCTCTATATACCTACTTAGTGACCTCTCTATATACCCACTTAGAGACCTCGCTATATACCCACTTAGAGACCTCGCTATATACCCACTTAGAGACCTCACTATATACCTACTTAGTGACCTCACTATACACCCACAAGAACCTAAAGATCACATGTGGATAACATTTGTTTGTTTTTTGCATAAGTTTACTGTCTTAGGTCACCGTATTGTTCCCGGGGAGGTAGGAAGTAAAGCAGGAGAAAATCTCCATTACCAGTAAAAAATAAAAATTAGCCTCAACTATCCAGCTGAACTGTATTACAGAGGTTAGGAACCATCGCTCAAACTGGGACACCACCCCTATATAAGCAATAAATATCAAAAAAGGGGAAAAGAGAAAGAGGGGCTTTGTGGGGACCACTGGAGAATAGCAGGGAATTT